GCAAAAAGGACCGTGATGAACATTTACTTCAAGTTATTGCTGAAGCTCAAGTCGACAATGATGCAATCGATCCTGCACTTTTGCCAGCAAATCATGATGTTTATGGCGAATACGACATGGATGACAGCGATGACTTGCTTGAACTATTAGGCAATATAGATGAATATACAACTGCTGCAGTCAATACCACAAGAAAAACAACAAAAAATAAATATATTGAAGAAACTATCGAAGCAGTCGAGAACGTTGGACGATTTAATCATACGAACAGTAAGTATTATTTTTATATCAGTAACAAGTTTGAAAACAATGATAAAAAATTTATTGTAGTACATTACCAATCTTCTTCAGATATATCAATTGATCGTACTAATCGACAACTTATACCGTTCCTTTATGCAACACCTCATCTTGTTCAACTCAATACAAAATGGTCAGAACACTTGAAGATCGAGAAAGAACGAGTTAGACGAAGTTTAATTACAAGGAACTATGACAAAGATGATGATACATTGGATTTATTTGCTGCAAGAGATGCTGTTGTGACAGTGATGGCTCCAAATAATTATAGTACTAACAATTTTGAAAACTATGGTTCAATTCTTTCAGTGCTCAAAGTCATAAATAACTTTCCTACTCCGACAAATATTATTAATGAATTTACATTAAACAGAGAACAACGAGCTGCAGTTATGATCATAACAAGTCATCTTGATGGTGACAGCCGATGTCGCACAGGTATTTTTACAATACATGCCATTACAAATCGTAATATACAATCTGTTTAGGTGACAATAATGGTCAGCTCATCATGTGCATACCTGGGTGTGGCGGAACAGGCAAATCGCAACTTATTCGTGCTCTTACCAAATACTTTCTCGTTACAAAGAGAATGCAAATGATGAGGAAGCTTGCACCGACTGGAATTGCTGCTGCTGAAATAGATGGAATGACAATTCATTCATTTTTAGGTGAACAACGCAATTCAGGAAAGTCACGAATCATTAAACCAGCTGACTCAAAGCTTGAGAAAGAATGGAGATCAGTCGAATATCTTTTAATTGATAAGATGAGTATGGTTGGTTTAACTCTACTAGCAAAACTCAACCGAATTATTTCAACTGCAAAACATGTCAATCCTCAAGTTCCATTCGGTGGTGTAAACATTATCTTCTTTGGTGATTACTTACAATATCGACCTGTATATGATGCACCATTACATACCGATTTTTCATTACCATCCGAAAAGAAACAGGGTAAACTACTCACAGAAAAAGAAATTCAACAACGTCTTGCACGTTCTTTAATTCTTCAAATTAACTGTGTGGTAAAACTTACTCAACAGATGCGCACGGAAGATTCATGGTACCTTCAGCTACTTGAACGTCTTCATCATGGACAATGTAATTATGACGACTATGAACTATTGCTGACACGAGTAGTTGGGCAACCATCAGTAGGCTCTCTCTGTGATTCACCATGGAATAAAGTAAATTTCCTTTTTCTTTTGATACAAATGTGTATATTCGTCTCATTTAGGCTCCGACCCTTGTGTTCCGAAATGAAGTACGAACACAATTGAACAACAAGGCCGCAATTCGCAATGCAGCTCAACTAGGCGACGTCCCTATGGTATGCGTCGCTCAAGACATTTGTAATGGCAAACCAATTGAAGATTCTATACTTATAAAAAAATTATTGGAATTATCTGATAGCAAGACAGAGCATTTACCTGGTTTATTACCTTTTGTTCCTGGAATGCCTGTTATTTTAACACAAAAAATTGCTATTGAACTTGGTCTTATTAATGGTATTAATGGAATCTTTCGACAATTAGTCTACCAGGCAGATTCTGTATCAACAAATGTTTTATCGGAAATATTTCCAAAAAATACACAATACATTCATCGACCATTATATGCATTAATAGAAATTGCCAAAAACCAAAAATTGAATCCAATCTTGAAGAACTTCAACCAAAACTCGTTCCAATACCAGTAATGGAACAAACATTTCGAGTAGACATTTCTGATATTCTTCCAAAAGACAAGAAACCAAAATCAAATCGAAAAGCAATTTTATCGATTAAGCGTCGAGCATTACCACTGGTGCCTGCTTATTGCATTACAACACACAA